CGCCCCCCTGACGCCCCTCAACGCTGCGTCCCCAGCTCGCGGAGAAGTTGGGTATACGAGCGACCTAATTTGCTCGGGGTTCAAAGTTTAGTGGCAGCATGTAAAAAGAGAAGAAATATCCTTCTTTGCCTGGGTTCTTGCGCTCGCTCGCTGATTAACACTCAAAATTGTTAATCATAGGATCAATTTTGCTGTAGAGTGTACTTTACTGTATGTGCGACAGTGAATAACTTGTTGACAGCAGTTTGGAGTTCTTTGGGATTCTTGATTGGGTTATTTCTGGAATTATTTCGGTAGCAGATTTTTGTGAATGTTCGATGATTATTGTTCGTGCACGCTGTCCAGGCAATATTAGTTCGTGTGAAACAGATGTGATGAAAAAAGGCTTCTCCTTTTCTCGTTCGAAAGTGGACTGTATTTGTTGAATATTGAGTGAAAGGAATGTGTATATGTTTACAAAGTTAAAGTGTGTGTGTGTTGTCCAGTGAGTACAGCGTGATTGTTATGAACTTGTGATGTATGTCTGTCTGTCTGTCTGTCTGTCATGTCTCTTAATGTCTCTCTATATATATAAAAAGGTATCAGTATAAACTGAGATAGGGCGGTGTCCTTAGTGACAAGTCAGAAGGTTAAAACGCTCGGGGTGTTGCTAGTTATAGTTTTTTAACCTACGCCCACATTACTAGTAGTGGAGGTAGGGGGTACGTTGTCCCTTCTGACCTGCAAAGGTACCGGTGGCTGTGCGCTCAGGGTTTAGGTCGTTGAGCTGCGTTTTTTTTTATGATATGTATCTTAACCAAATAAACCGTGCCGGAACAATTATGTCACTAGTGATTGAAAGATTCATCTTTCTGTTATAGTAATAAAGAGATCAATTTTATGTCAAAAATAAACACTGTTATGAACAAGTTATATATAACTTCACTACAGAAATAGATGTATACCATTTTAAATTTATTAAAAGATGGCATCTATTGGTGTAACATTTTCATAGTTCTGTTAAAGAAAATAAAGCTGGCCGTCAAATAACCTTCCTAAAAACTTCTACAAAAGAACAATCAAAGCATAACATCACTCATCGTATTATCAATAAAACCATTCAACTCCGTTTAAGAAACCTGTTGCCACCAGTGTATTACGAAGCAACGTCAAAATTAACTCAACCAGCCTCCACAGTGTGTTACATTTTATAATTATAATAACCATAAAGCACTCAGCCTCGGACTCGAAGAATTCAGCTGGCGTTAATCAAAGTCGATAGCCTCGTTTTCAACGCTTTCCTCTCGAAGAGTCTCGCGAGGCATAATCACGGGAACGCGTTGTTAGACGCGAACCGAATAATCGAACGGCACCCAGCCGCGTAAGTGCCGGTCCGCGGGATTAAACGATAAATTTAATAATTCGCTTTAACGAGCCGATAAACCTTCCCACCGAAAACTCTTCGTCGGTGCAATTACAGGGAAGGAAAAGAGTCACGTGCCGATATAATTCATATCCCGGAAATATTTCGACGTAGCAATCCACGGTAGCGCGGAGTGCACTTCAACATTTACGAGTGGCCGTGCCAATTTTCAGGGAGCGTTCTTTATTGGATCAATCCCGCGGCACCGTGGCTTGCCGGAGTGAACGGAGGAGGGGGGAAGGAGGGTCAAAGCCGAGTGACGTTTCAGATTACGTTTCTGTGGAAGGAAAACGCCGGCGTTCTTACCTTTTGCCCCGTCGCGGGGGAGAAGAATCGTTTAACGTCGAGTTAATTGCCGGGTTCCACGATGCGAACGAATTCACCGGCGAGATTAGTTTGCAGAAGACACTGCGGCCACGGTTGTTCACCCGCTCTCCCTATTTATGGTGTCGGATAGTAATTCTAATGGATTAAGGAACAAAAGAAAATAGTTGAACGAGAAATTAACCCCGCTGCTGTACGGTATCGAAGAAATAAATGTTAGTGGATTGTTTTCGGTTTAGATTGAATACTATTGTTTGTTATTAATTGTTATAGTTTGAAGTTAGTCTGGATGTGGATGAACTGGGAATTTATTTTTGTTTCTGGGAGTTATGGATTAATAAGTGTTAACGGTATTCTAGCAGTTACGAAAGAAACAGGGCCAGGGTTTAATGAATGAGTTGATTTGGTGAATTGCGAAGTAAAATGTAAGTGAACTGAGATTTTAATGAATTAGAATAGTTAGCTGGGGTATTGGGTAGTTGTAATGTTGGTGTGTGGTTGTTGGAAAGTGTCACATATTGATGAAATAACGATTTAGGCTACTGGTCTGATAAATTATTGATCTATACTACTTAATTCACTCGGTACGAAAAGTGAACGTTCGTATGCACTAGTTTCTTAATGAATGCTTAGTGTGCATTCCCAATGATTGTTCCATGATATATATTATATTTACATTAATTTATTTCTAAGCATACTATAGTAATAATAATTCATTAGTATAATCAAGATATAACTTATTGCTAAGCAGTTAATATTCAAAATTGTATCAGAGAGTTCCCTCTCCATTCGCACCACCACCACCACTAACACACCGACACCAACGGACACCCAAAATTTCAAACATTCAAGCAACACGTACATACTTTCATCCAGAACAGATTCATCCAAACCAGTCAACACCTGGACACGCAGCTCACCTGTAACACACGAACATCACAATCCGTCATTAACTGATAATGTGTTTAACCGTGTCGCCTATTAGATACTGTCGTAACAATATATTTTTAAACAATGTTCCTGCCATTCGATTCGCCCCCTTTACCACACACATACCCACGTGCCACCTTATATCCTAAACAAACCATTCATTCACCAAGGATGGGTCAGAATGAACGAGTCGTAAACGACCGGTGATCGAACGTACTTCGAATGGTAATTTATTACAATTTGTACAGATTACAAATCGGTACCTATGGTGTCGCGTTCGTCTCCACGCCGAGACGTCTTAAAAGGAGCGGATATTGAGCAGAAACGCCGCCCGTCGCTGCGCTAACGTTTAACCATATCAGTTTTAATATTAATTACCCCTGTAGTAATCGTATTATCTATCCACGACGCTCGGTGAACACTGGGGCTGAAGGGTGGGCTGGGGATCAAAGGGTTAGTCACTAACGAATCACAGAACGGAAAGCAATCGAAACGAAACGGAATCGAATCGAGCAAGCGTATCGCGTTTCGTGTGTGTGTGTGTGTGTGTCTGTGGGGACTGTTATATTGCGTACGATAGGTTACAATTGGAAATTCGCTTTACAAACCGTTTGACGTTCTCCGGCTTCTCCGGACCTCGTGGCCGAAGAAGCCGAACTTTTTCAACGCGCTGTTTCGATGCACGACGCGTTTCAACCCTCTCCATGCGTTCCTTTCCCGCGTGTTCACCTAGTAGCCCCGGAAAATCGGATCAACGACGGTGCACGCGATCATCGATCAATCGCCCGTTCACCTCGGTCAGCAATCTGCTCACGTGAAAAAGGATAAACACGCTCGAAAAATGAATACGTGCGTTGTCTCGCGTCACACCGGCCCGACGACTGATTCAGCCGTTGCTCGCCGAGTTCTAGCTCCCACTCCGTTTTCTTCTTTCCCGTTTCCCTTTTCGTTCGGCCAGGCCCACTCGAATAAAAATCATTGTTATTCGACTATCTACTCCATACATAGTAACATACATAACTGGAAGCCCTAGACTACTAGGTTTTACATGGACGATGTAATCGGGTCAGACAGTGGCAGGGGTTTCCTCGTTGACGCCCACCAGCTACCTGCTGCTGGCGGCGGCGGCGGCGGGGCGAGCCTCGGTCGTGCTGACCGTCGCCGCGAACATCGTCATCGAGGTCGACAGCAGGAACACGAGGGTCGCAATCAACGCTAGAATCATCGTCGTCGCTGTAGTCCAGGCTGAGCTTCGTCCGGCCGAGCTGTTGCTACCTGCCGACAGAAGGAAAGTGATGAATGCCCGGGGATAGAGCATGCTTCCGATGGATTGTTCGGTATACGTGGGCATGATAACCAGACAATGGGCAAGTCGAATCTGTCGAACCTATTAACTTGCGGATAACGATTCTGTGCTCGGCGATGATCGTTTTTTTAGGAGAATCGTTGAAGATGTATTTAATTTCTCGACGATAATGCGGTTTTGCGTATTGATAACGGGGGATTTGGAATCCGTTGAATTTATCTGGGTGAGATAATTGTTGTTAATGATAATAACAGTTTTGTAATCTACATTGATGTTGAATTTTTAGGAGAGATTGGCTGGGGATTTATTTTATTGTGAGTGCGGGTGATAATGGTGCTTTTTGTGTATTGATTTGAGAGGGGTTTGGAAATTGTCGAAATTGTGGAGGTGAGATAATGGTTGCAAATAACAGTTGCAGATTTGTAAGCTACGTTGATGGGAATTTTATAAGGAAAAATTGCTGAGGAGTTATTTCGTTTTCGATGGAAATGATAATACGGTTTTTGTGATAACATGACGAACAGAGACTTCTGTTGATCTTTTTACTATACAGATTAGTAATTCCATATATTAAACAGCTCACTTTGCAGGGAAGAATTACTGCAAATTTATTCGAGTTCAATAAGGTTCAATGTTGGGAATGAATGATAGAAACACTAGAAACTATTGACGTATTATTTTCTACTGACTAATGAGACATGTTCCCGTCACGCGTTATTTTTACAGTTTTGCTGCAGCTTTACAGAAAATAGTTGTTTGTCTATTCAAGTTCGGGAATGAAAGAGTTTTTTTAGTGATATAATCGGTAATGGAATACCTACGTCGGCTGTGTTCCCAGTTTCGAAATTTGATGTTTTACGAGCACTGATATCGACACACCGACGAAACCACAATATTTGGTTACTGGGTGATGGACAGATATGAGAAATGTGATACAGGCCTATCGTTCCTGTTGCACGAAGCACTTGGAGTTATTCAGGAACTATTATTGCACACGATATTCACTAGACCGAAGTTATTGTATTACCGACTACTGGCCCATATTATGCGGTTCATATTGAAGGAAACTAATTAATAAAGATCCTCGGGCGTGTCTGATCACATACATTCCGTTACCACTTAATATACTTTCAAAAAAAATATCCACATTCTTCCTATTGGTTAAACACAATAAACATAATATCTCCGAAAAAAATATCCAAGTGCTTCCTAACATCTATACACAATAAACTTAATACCCTTGTCAAAAAAATATCCAAATGTTTTCCAATAACTATACACAACAAACTTTTGCCTAAAATCTTTGCAAAAACATTATTCAAATACTTCCCAATAATTACCCAGAATAACCGTAATATCTTTTCTAATTCTACAATTAAATGCTCCCCAACAACTATACACAACGAGCTCAGTATCTTTCCAAAAAGAATATGCGAAAGCTTCTTAATAACTATACTCAAGCCTCCCAAAATATCCCCACGCCATCTGAAATACAATTCCCTAACAAACAATTCCACTCCTCGCAAATTCATTTGATAAACGTTCATTCCGCACAGCCCCAAATGTCCACTATCCACTATTCACTTACAATATTCTAACCATCGAATACCATTAAACTCGTTCCCACCGATCATTGTGGAGACCCATCGCAAATCCCGAAATCGCGGGAAACCAGTCCACGGTCGAGTTAAAAATGATCTTTCGATTCCCATGGAACGAAGCCGAGCACCGGTGAAACTCAAATTTCCGGTCGGGCCGGCGCGCCGCCTCATCGGTGCGGACATTAATGATGCTCGAGTCCCGAGGCAGGAATTAATTTCGAGATACTTTAGAACCGACGCGGTCATATCGAAAATCCATTTGTCGCGGACTTCCGCGGAAGCCGCGGTATTAATCAAACTCCCGGCGCGCGCGGTCGGGACGCACTGTCGCGTCCCTATTAACCCACATCAGGCCCGCCTTTCAATTACGAATTTCTGGTAATGAATTTCGCCCGGCGATTTTATCGTTTTTAATTACAATAAGAAGTTGAGTAACGGCCAGGTGAACGGCCCGCTTGCGAAAGGGGGAAAAAATAAATGAATAGGTGGGAAGGCGGAGAAAAATGTGGGCCACGTCGTTTCCGCCGGTTACGCTTGCCAAGTCCCTCCGTCCCGGCCCCCCGTAAACTTCGCTGCGCCCGATAGCCGTTCTTAACCCTTAATCCTAAATTATTCGCGAAACAGTTCACCGGGCTAAATTGTTTTTCGCCGGGATGGCGGCACGGTAAATTCGTGGGTTGGGCTACTTAAGTAGCTTGCAGCTGGTCCAAATAGACTAATTAAACGGAACCTCTGAGCTTTCTGAGGTTGTACACATAAGCTTTTGCATTCTCTTTCCACCATACCCTTTTTTGTTGCGCTGCGAGTAGCTCCGTGCTTACCGACGGTATCCTTTACTGCGAGTAACAAGGAAAGTTTTTTTCTCAGGCTCCGCGGGTTTGTTTTATAACATTTGCCCGTGTCGTCTCTCATGATGTGATTATTAAAATTGCTTGCCGTCAACCGTGAAATTCCTTTGTAGCGTTATTTCGAAATAAAATGTATTGTTCGAGAATTCCATTGGAAACGATACATTTTCATTTTGAATTTTCGTTTGTGCTGTCGTTTGACTGGATAAATGTTTGCCAGGACATAACGTTACGTTGTGTTTCATGTTTTGTTAAATATTATACAATTTGTAATTCAGGGAGTATAAGCGTGCAAAATTTTGTAAAGCAGCTGTTGGATGGCGTTGGCTGAGAAGACTGCTAGTCGGAAGTGGAAAGCAGAAATAAATGCGTGCGGGGATAGTCTTTTTTAGGGGGAGCGGAATTGTATCAGATGAGAATTGCTAGATATATTTCTCTGGAAAAACAAGGCGCGCGTGAAAAGAGGTCCGTTGCGTATTCTCGATTCGCTTTAACGAGAGAAATCGACCAATTCCAGTTTACGTCGACAGAACTTCATTCCAGCGAGACCGTTGGATCCGTTTAACGGAAAGTATTTAAATTGTATCGTTCCGTGTTGTCTGTTAATAATTATTCCAGGTGAGAATCGTTTACATATAAACGGGCATTACTGTAAACGCTGTTACCGACGGAATTGCCGTGTACGAGGAAATACGTGGCTCGGGGTGCGTGGACCGTTATACGCTGCGAGGACTAATCGAATCGTTAAGAAAATTATATACATTCTTTTCCATTTCGCCAACTTCGAACAATACTTCGGGTCGCTTGAGAAATCGTGGGTATATTAAAGGGAAATATGTTTATTTCGTTTCCATTAAACAAATGTCTGCGGTTCATACGAATACTCAATTACAATAGAACGATTAAATGAGTGTATTAAAGGGAAACCTTTTGATTCCGGTTCAAGGAAATGAATCTGCGCGGTTCAAACGAGTATTTAAAATGGAAGCCATTAGTTTTCCTATTCCCGGAATTGGAGGCCAATTTATTTCGCGCAAATTCCGTGGAATATGCGTGGAGCAAGTCAACCATAAACACTCCTCTCCAACTCGCAGAACAAAGTACCAATTCATTTAACAGAAATCATCGCGTTCGCCGTTTTCACGTTACATTCGCCTAGCTGAAAGCGCGGACAACAGAAAAACAATGGAAAAAGAAACATCTACTGATGACACAATATTCCACGCAATCACACGCGAACACACTGCGACCCGTTCATCGGTGCATGGATCGGAAGCGGCTCCATAATTTCCCATCGATTGGGTACGGTGTTTTTAATCGAATGGCCCGTCGGATGGACAAAAAACTGGTCAAATGGCAGCACGACAGCACTGATACAGAAGCGGCCGACAAAAAAAATCGGCTTCGAAACTACTATCCGATCGATTACCGTTTTTATCCCCTCAGAAACGAATATTTCTATTTATTTCCTTCAATTATTCTATTATTATTGTTGTTTTTGTTTTATAGAAATAATATTCCACAGTAATTTTCATTATCATATACTTGTCGTACTCTAAGTGATTGAATTTATACTTGTGAATTTATTAATATCGGTAATGGCATTAATTTTAAAAAAAGTAGTCTACAGTTTCTGGATATAGATGCATAAACCAAGCTTTAAAAGAAAAGATCAGAGAAATATTAATGAATCCCTAACATTGAACTTATATTCTGTTATTTTATCGCTCCTTTCTTATTACTAAGGAACTTTATATTAACTAAATAGTCGAAGAATGCAAAGACTATAAAATAACAATCGACATTATGCATTTACAGGAAATTTCAAAGTAAAATATCCAAAATGTAGATCTTAAAATATTTAACAAAGAAAAATCTTCTTTCGCCATATCTATATTCTCCTAACTA